TTATTTGACCCAAGATATGATTACTTGAGCAATGTAAAGAGATATTGGGCATAAATATAACCACCAGGATCAAGTCAGTGATCAGTTTAGTAGTACAGTGCTACCAAGCACAAAGTGTGTTGAACAAAATTCTTCCTTTAGCAGGTATTAAACAAATTGTCGATCAAGTACACATCAATTAGATCTTAAGTAAGTAGGTTCCGAGAAAGACTCTAATTTGTCAAAAGCAAAAATAAGGATAAGTAGGACTTATCCGATAGAAAAGACAGCTAGTCCGGGGGATAACTAATCACTAGATAGAAAAAAAATTATCGAGATTAATTAATGCTTAACCTGAGATGAACAATATTAGCATGAGACCTAATGGGTAGATCAAAAGCCTAAGAGGACAAGAACATGAATCAAGGGGAATTTGATAGGGATCAGGGTGTACCACTAGATTTCAATCTAAACTCCAAGTCCTACATAAATTGGGATATACTCCCTATAAATACTGGACATGCTTGAGGCAAATGTACACACTCTTTTGTTTTTGATTTGCTAGCTTAATTTAGTGCTTTTACTAACTTAAGCACAAGAGTCCTCTCAACGGGTGCTATCCTAGCCTGTGACAATTTACTTGTTTTGTAAGGGAAAAAAGAAATCAATTGCTTCATTTCTCAGCTCATCATATTGGTAATCTTCTAATCACTCAGTATGGATTTTTACCTGTACGAATATGATTAAAGGTGCATCTGGCAAACTTTCATGCAACAATGACCAACTGGGACTAATTTGAGAATTAATTATGATAAATTGATAATAAATATTTAAATAACCATAAGTTGGTCAAAAGTTCATCATAACAAACTCACATTCCATCTTGGCAAATCCTAACAATGCCCCAAGTAAAATGGGCAAAATCAGGACTAAGTAATCGGATCAAAAAGACATATGGTGATGTAGTTCATGTTGTTTTATTAGAAAAATGTTGGAGAATTCTATGGCACTGAGTTTGACATTGTGCTCAACAAATTTAAAAATTATTCCAAGGCCCCACCCTAAAAGAGACTATTATGCGTTCATGCTCTAATACCATGAAAAACTTCACTAACTTGAAAAAGGACACACGAGTTTTCTTTATTATTCAATTGGATCAAATAATGATTTAAATATTTCAAAGTTATGACATAATAGCATCAATTATTTTCAATCCAAAAACATGGATGCTTTCCTAAATTTTGCAATTGATCTCAACTTTCTTGAATCTTATTAAGATGATGACTTGAACTATTTAGATCACAACTTGATTGGTTTGAATTATAACTTTCAAACAACATCAAAAATAACTTTCGAATCTTATCTCTAAAAGTGTCATACGTTATTAAGCTCATTTTTATTAGTTAAACTTCTATTTCATCCTATCGCGTGCAATCTATATAATAAAGTAGAATGCTATAAATGCCGCAACAATGAATATTTCATCGGGACAGATAATTACGTATTTAGCAGCTGACAAAATGGCAGAGGGTGATGAACTTGATCGATCGATCACTAATCGATATCCTAATGAGTATTAAAACTCTTTAAACCCTGCTGGGTTACCACCGTTTAAATTAGATTTGACGGTGGGTAGCCCAATAATGTTGCTGAGAAATATAGCGCTGAAGGAAGGGCTTTGTAATGACACGCAATTGATGGTTGTTAGATGTGCCACGCGTATGATTGAAGCTCAAGTTTAAAATGGTGATAAATCTGACAATTTGGTCTTCATTCCAAGAATATCTTTGTTACCAACATCTTCAGAATTGCCTTTTCAGATGACGAGACATTAATTTTCTGTCCGATTAACATATGCTATAACAATCAATAAATTTCAAGGATAGTCTATAAAATTCATTGGGGTTGATCTGCGCACACCAGTGTTTAGCCATAGACATCTGTATGTGGCATTATCCAGATGCACATCTTCTAATCATATACGTGTTCTTCTTCCTGAAAATGAGTCGAATTACACATCAAACATCGTTTATCCTGAAGTTCTATTATAGAACTTCCTATTCAATAGCAAACAAATGGTACCATTTATTTACAAATTGCTCCTATTGAATACATATTGAATTAAAATAATCACGTTAACTTTACATTATACTTCATATTTTGTAGGATTGGTGTGAATTGGCTAAGGCGATGAAAAGAATAAATACAACGCGACTTCACCGATGAGGATATCGTAATAAGGTAATCCGATTCTTATACCGTTGTAACGAGATTTATTTTTTTATAACTAATATATATCACTAAAGTTTGGTTTTCTTTCTTTCTGTAAAACTAGGTTGTTGTGCATTCTCCAAACTTGCAGTTTCGCATATGTATTGACACAAGAACATTCAGGAAAGTGATGAAAAGAAAGTTCAAAGACCTACTGGAAGGCTAATCTATTAACTATATCTTTATGAAGATAGATCATATGTTTAATATAAACTTGATACTTAATTACTTGCATGATTACAATTACTACTATTATGTTTGTAGTGACAGTATTATGATACGATGGTGATTTGAATAATTATTCTATGAATTTCATATATGGTTTGATATATTTTGTTGGTGTCTTGATTTTATTGTAATTTCGCATTTCTAATCATTATTCCAATTTTTTATGTTGGTGTGTTATTATTTTTATTAAATCACATGGGTGACAAAATATTATTTTGTTTGTTGTAATGTTTATTACTCCATTGCTAATGTGATTATTACAATTTTAATTTGTATCTTTTATATTATGTACATATATAATGGAACGACATCCAATATTTGTACGTCGTAGTACGCGTGTGGCTCTATTAGGAATACAAGAAAAATTTGAAAATGAATCGTTTGAAGATGGAACCCCAATCTCGAAGTTTGGGATGAAAAAGGTTGAATTAGGTCGTATGTTACAAATGATAGGGAAAAATATAAGTGATAATTGTATTATGCATAAAATAATAGAGACCCTTCCCACAACTTAAAATTCTGTAATGGAAAATTTTTTTTTAGACGACAAACCAACCAATGCAGTACGGTTTGTACAATTATTGGTGGAAGCGAAATGCGATATCTACCCATTATAGATACAATTTGAGCAAGAAAAATTGGGTCCAGAGATGAATGTTCTAGATCATATAAAAAAGAAATAATAGTTATTTTATAAACTGCAACAAGAAGATTTTATGCCAAATAATCCAATTATGTTATATGTTGTTGTTAACATGCTTCCATCTATGTGGCCAATTGACGAAATCAATAAGAAGTTTGAGAATGACTTCGTAGATATGATAGAATTGGAGGAGACATTGGCAGATATCGAAGATGACATACTCTGTTCACGAGCGTTATAAGACGTGGAGGCTCAAACTGAACTACTATGAACAAGATCTCCACAGATGAAGTAATATTTTTTAGGTAAACATTATTTCTCTATGTTTTTATTATTTGAATGTGGATAAAAGAAAAAATGTATATTTTTAGAGAATAAATAAACACCTAACTATAATCTTTTTTTTTTCAAGTCGTATCTTTTGGAAGTCGGTTGAATTTCTGATAGTTATATTTGGTCATTTGACAATATCTGCAGACTTAGTTTATTTGTGGGAGTATTGTTTTAATTTTCATTCTATTAGTTATGAATTTTGTTATTATTTAGATAAAGTTGATTATGAATATAGAAATCATAGATTTTGAATAAAAAACAGAACATTAAATATTGTCAACTGATATATTTTTTCAGATATTTGAATTATTATGTTTCGATGGTTATAACATAATTTTTGTAGCATAATTTTTCAGATATTTGAATTATTATGTTTCGGTGTTACTAATTTGCGAGTAACACTGTGCCTTCAGGCACGGACAATTACTTGTGTATCAATAAAACAGAATATTAAACCCAACAATGACTAATATTAGTTGAATTTGATGCTTTATGTTATAACTTTCATTTTAACCTTTTAATTACAATAAATCTTTCTACTCACATCTCAACTTTTTAATTGCAGTAAATTTACCTATTTATATTTTAACATTTTCATTTTAATCAAAACATTAACCACAACAACCAACCAAATTGTTTGAATTTGGTGTTTGATGTTATGACTTACATTGTAGCTTTTTAATTATAGTCAACCTCTCTATTTACATTTTAGAATAATTCTAGATTGATAAAAAATAATTAAAAAAAAATAAGGGATAAATAATGTATCACTAAAATAATAATGCTTTTGGTCCCACTCTTATTTCTTTAATATCCAAAATTTACTTATTGTGTTAGTTGTTCCATTATTTAGACTTTATTTTTGGTCTTATTTTGTAGTGAGTCTAGCGGTACTTTACATATAAACTTTTTAACCGTAATAAATTTACATGTTTGTATTTTTAAAATTTAGCCAAAGCATATCTATCTATTTATATTTTAACCACCATAAATATAATTGGATAATTTATATTACGAATTTCATTTTAATTTAAAATAAATTTGTTTATCTACCTTTTATCTTTTTAACTATAATAGAATTACTCTTTTTAACTATAATAAATTTAACTTTTATATTTTAATCACTATAAACATAATTATTTACGTTTTAACCAACATAAATCTATAGTGTGTTTACATGTGTCTGTATTATTCAATTAAAATAAGAATCCCTACTCCACCTCGAAAACAAGAATAAATATTTGGTATAAGAGGGATGTCGAGTCATAATTGTTACATAATGTTACCATTTAATTATAACCATCCAGGTGATTATTGTGAATCACAATTTCTTATACAAGTTAATTATTATTTTTATATAAATTAAGTAATTATTATATTAAATTTATTTATTTATTTTCATATTGAAATGTGACGACACAAAACAATAATGACATCCGTCACACATTCAAGAGTGAATAGTGGCCGGGTGTTTCTTCTGAGAAAAAGTTTATAATTTCTTCTCCGCGTCAAACAAATCAAAATCCCCCAATAGGCCCATATAATACCGCCGTGAATGACCGTCTATACCCGGTAAAACCGGTCACCATCTTTCTTCTTGATCTCCTAGGTCACTGCCCTACTTCTGCATTTCAAATTCGCTTCTCTCCCTTTCCTTTTACCGATCTCAACGATTCAACTCCTTTCTTCAGTTCAATTCCTAGGGTCTCTTTCTCTCTCTGTGGATAGATTGACAACTCCGGCAAATTCGCGGTTACTTCCAGGCGAGATCTCCGATCCGGTAAGCTTCCGTTTGCAACGAAGAAAAGAAATACTATGCTGCATCAATATAGAAATCACCTCACCAGAGTCGTATAGTAGTTTATGGGACTCTGTTGAGTGAGACTAGTTGCATTTCTCATTTTCTTGTTCAAAATTTTTTCTGCTCATTTTTGTTTTATAATTTTAGCCGATTTTCTATAACAAAAATTTTCTTTCTTTGATCAATTCATACCTGAGGTTATTGTTTATGTGAACGTAGTCTTGACACGGACACGGACACTGAATTTTTTAAAAAAGCAGGATACAGACACGTTGGCCATAGGTTGAATAATATATATATATATATATAATCATGTGAAAAATTAAAAATATTATTATAATAATATTTTCATTCATCATTTCTCTAATTCTAAAAATTCACATCATGATATCATTGTGTAAACAGTACAATATAAGATATACCGAAACACGTTCAACGTTAACATCTATGATCCAACAATCAATGACTACTACAAATTTTATTTTCAAAATTTTTCTATTTCGTAACACTAATTTTCATTAATTTTCAAGCGTCCTAATTTTGTAATTCTATTTTTTTTCGCATTATTTTCATATTTAAAAGTTAAATCCATTTGAATATAAGATCGTATTCGTATTCAAATTTATATGTTAATTTATGTCCTATGTTTAATGTAATGATTATAACTTCTTTTATGTTATGATTGTAACTCATATCCCTTTAAAATTATAAAAATAACTTTTAATTATAAAATTATCTGAAAAGTTCTCAACAATTTGAAAATAAATCTCAAAACGTTTCCTCCAGCGTGTCCCCAACATGTCCTGAGCGTATCAGCCGCGTGTCACCAACGTGTCCTATGTGTGTTCTGCATGTCCCCAACGTGTCCCGCAAAAATTTAACAATAAAAAAATCTTGGACACTTATTTTAACGTGTCCGTAGCGTGTTCGTCTCCCAGGCGTATCCGCCACTGACAGTGTGCCCAAAATGACGTGTCTGTGCTCCCTAGTCTTGGAGATAAAATGAATTTAAATTGAGCTGAATTGTTAAAATCTTTACATTGAGCTGAATTATTAAAATCTTGTTATCTTTGTAGTATAGGAGATGTCTCAAGTTGAGGCCTTGTGGGAGCGGTTGGTGCGTGCAGCACTACGTAGGGAAAGGACCGGTACTGATGCATATGGCCGGCCAGAGAGTGGCATTGCTGCAAATGTCCCATCATCGCTTCCAAACAACAGGGACATAGATTCCATTTTGAGAGCTGCGGATGAGATTCAAGATGAAGACCCAAATGTTTCCAGAATCTGTATGTGTTTCTACCTTTTCTTTTCTTTTTTCATTCTGTGAATATCATGTTGTGCTCAAGTAGCATAGGAATACCCATTAGGGCTATTCTACCTGAGACTCGGTTGAATTTGGGCATGTGTTTTGGGTTTTCTTTTTTGGGGTAAAAGGGGGGGGGGGGGAGCGTAGGGGAAGAGATCCTTTGGCTACACCAAGTGATCTGAGAGTTTATTTGGATGATTCATGAGATAAAGATAAGATGATGTCCACGAAATGTGGAAGAAATTCATTTATGAAAAAGCCTACTAGATTAGAATAATACTTTATATTTATATAATGAAGGAAGAGTAGGGTTTCTAATGCTGAAATGCATTCGTGCAACATGGGAAACCTTTTAAAATATTTTCAAAATCTGATGTTTGAATATTATAAGAGATGGTGATGAACTTTTGGAGGAGGGCTCAAATTTATCTGATGGTTTAAAAGTAATTGCCACCTGCATCTAGATATGGGGTGCCTTGGTTGGATTTTCAGCTGGGTGAAAGGTGGTTTTATTTCAGTTTTCTTTTTGTTGGTCTTTTTTTTTCAATCTCGTAAGGGTATCTTGTCCTCCATAGAGTGCTGCTATTATCTCATATCTCCTAGTATTATTCTTCATTAATAACAAAAACAAGTGTATTAAACTGCGTGGTTTGTCTGTTGGTTGTCGTTTTCTGTTAATGTTTGGATGCTTCTTGTTAGTTCATTGCAAACAGGATAATTTGTTTCTCACTGTTGCTATTTTAATTTTCCATGTTGGGAAAACTTGAAGATATTCATTTGCTTGGGGGCAGGACACCCTTTGAAAATTTATTCCATAAGATCCCCGTGTCCCCTAGCATTCTGCAATGATTTCTAATATGCTTGATGGAAGTCATTCTATTCATCTGTAACTGTTAACTTTTTGTTGATTTGATACAGTATGTGAGCATGCTTATTCTTTGGCTCAAAATTTAGATCCTAATAGCGAGGGAAGGGGCGTGTTACAGTTCAAGACTGGTTTGATGTCTGTAATCAAGGTATCTTTTCTGTTGATGAGATGGTTAAGAGTTGTGTTGCATTCTCCAGAACCTCATTTTGAGTTTACTTTGTTTGAACAAAGGAAAAAATGTGCTTGCACATGCATGCACATGTTTTTTTTACAATATTGATCAATATGTGGGGTACTTCTAAGCATTGATGATTAGCATCTTAGATGTATGTTGGTACAATACTTGATAATAATTAAATGATTTTAGTATAAGCATTCTTATTAGGAAAAACAAAACGATACCGCCTTGGACACTTTAAATCTGTTTGCTTTTATTGCTTCTGGCATGTGTGTCACTCTGATGCAAGGATTCTACTTTTGCATAAGAAATATTTTTAGGACTTCTATTTTGCCATGTTCATGAATTTTAATTGGGTTTCATTCGTGTGAACCATAGATGTATATTTCCTAGCTGTCAGTTCCAATACAATGAATTGCTTGTACTCTCTATTAATTTTGCAGCAAAAGCTTGCAAAGAGGGAAGGTGGAAGCATTGACAGAAGTCTAGACATTGCTCGCTTACAGGAGTTCTATAAGAAGTATAGAGAGAAGCATAATGTAGACGAGCTACGGGAAGAGGAAATGAAGTTGAGGGAGTCGGGTGCTTTCAGTGGTGACCTTGGAGAGTATGAACCATATAACCGTGCCATATTTAATTGCCTCTTACTAACACTTCTATTTGAAAATTGCAGTTTTAGTTTCTACCATCTCTGCGTTGACTCAGGCACCTTTGATACGATAATGATAGGCATTACATAAATATAACGAGTCTCATTTGAATTGGCATCGACTCGGTCATGATTTGGCATTATTAGTTCAACTCAGGGTCACTGGTTTGACTTGGATGATTTGCAACAGAATTGAACAAGAGGGTGAGAATTTAACAAGAGCGTGAGGTGAAGAAAAAGCCAAAGAAAACGGTACTAATATGAAGAAAAATTGGCAAAAAATCAAAGACCCACAAATTTAGCCCTAAATTATAGAAACCTATATCAATTGGTCATTCATTCATTCCTAAATGACATCTTTTTACAAATACATAAATAGAAGAAGAAATTCATATAATTTGTAATATGTATTTAGAAAATATTGGAAGAATCATAGTGAACAAAGTTTCCTCTTATTCTTCTTTTTCTTCTGAAGTAGTCAAGTAGAAGGACGTGATTGTCGAGCCTTATCCCTTATTTCGGTGATCAATGTGGCGACGTGTCATCTCTCTCTGTAGAGCATTTGAAATGAAGAGTCAAATTGACTCTTTGGTTACCGAGACTGTTTAAGAGTCTACCGTATTATCACTCAACTAGAATTTTTTATTAGTTTTGGGCAAGGCTTCTAAGATAATGTCCCACTTAATAGTTAAGACTTAACTAATTGACAAAAACTATAATATTTTATTTTGTAGTCATATATATTATTAGTAAGATAGGTTTGGATCCCTTTCCCCTTTTAATATGAATAAGGTAAGCTTCTAAATCTCCTTTCTTCCGGGTGAGCAAGAGTGCACTTTTGTTTTCCTTTTACTATACAAGGGGGTTTAATGAGTAGAGATCTCCTACCAGCTGTCTTCTCTTGGAATTTAATAGATGGATTAGTTGGTTTTGTTTAGGATATCATCTCCCGACTGTATTCATGACAACGGTTGCACCTAAACGGTAGCTGTTTATAGTCCAAAGCCCGTGTGTGCTGTATTATTGAACTCTTTTCTCCAACCAGGAGTTGTCAAATTGATGGGGAGCATCTTGTATGTCGAGTTCTACATGGATATGTGCATAAGATAGGTTTGCCCTCCTTATTCTGTCCCCAAAAAAAGATATTCTATTTTGCATTGCTAAGATTTGGAACTCCTTAGCCCAATAAGCGGGTTCTGCCCTTAGGCTTTTTAGTTAATCTCTTCAAAGACCAAGGAAATAGGATCATTGAGGCCAAAATTTTGGGTAAAGAATTACGTTCCGGGTCCTTGATCTGTGAAATGTATCTACTTAAGACTTGAATAGCTTTAAGCAATATATTTTATAATTAATATATCCATAATACATAGGATTTTGTTTTGTCCTACTACAAGCTGAATTAGTATCATTTTATCTTATTTCTGGAGAGTAGTTACTACTTCTTGCTTAGGATTTTGGTCTACTATTATTCTTACTCCATTTCTATGTCCGTCTTTTTCAGGATATTAAAATTTATAACTTGTATTTTCTATTTCTCTTGATTTCTCTTCTAATTACTTAGTTTCTTGTAAGCATATTATATTAACTTTTATCGTAAATCATGGTTGCAACAAATTCCATTACTTTATTGTAACTGTTTCTATATTCCAAGTTGCAAACCTAAGCTTAGTATGTTGGAGTGATTAAAATGAGACGCCCATTGCCCATTTTTCAAAACACCGGGGTGCGGGTGCAATACATCACTTTCAGGGGGAATGCCCAAGAATTCTTAGGTAATATCAGGACTAAACGCCTTACAAGACCTCATATGCAATAAAAGCGAGTGCTTAAACTGTGAAGAATAAGAAACCACACAAAAAGGCTTGACTTTTTAGGGAACTTTTGATCTCCAGATGATTTTGTCTTAAGGAAAACTAATGATCATTCTTGGAGCTTACAAGGTAGGGAAAAAAAAAAAAGAGCTACAAGAAATGTTTTCAGAATCATCCACAGTCAAGCCTACAACCGTGAGAAGTAGGATGAAAATTATAAAGAATTTCAAGCAAGAAACTCAATCTGCTGTTTCTTTATCATAGAGGCACTTAACAAATGGGTATCCCAAGAATTAGTATTCTAACAGAACAAGAAGACGAAAAATAGGAGCCTTATGAATGGAGGAAAAATGACAAAAACATGGAAAAACTGAAACACAATATTAAACGCTGTCCAAGTATCCTCCCAAAATAAAATTTTAGACCTATCTTCAATCTTGTAACGAATTAGAGGAACACAATAATGATGTACCTATGAAATCAATTTCCGTTTATTCATATGAGTTAAATTGTAGCCTAATTTAGGGTGCCAACCATTCAAATCTTTTGGCACTCTCATTTACTAACAGGGGAAATGTTTTTAGACACCAAATTATCATGTCTCAAACCCCCTTCCTCTCTAGCTGTCCAAGCTGCATCCCGACTCATTAAATGATCTCTCCTCTCCTCTCCCATGCCTAACCAAAGATAATTCCTCATATTCTGCTCCCCTAGTTATGGTGTTTTTCACTTGAAGGAAGTTGGTGTTTTTTGATAGGAAACAATAAAATATTATTAAATTATATAAAAGAGAATAGTAAATTGGAGGATCTGGCATTGGGCTGCTGGGTATGGAAAGGAATGATGCCATATTTGGTTGTGCTTCTTCTTTATGCCTTTAGCTTACTACTATCTGGAACCCAAGGCAGCAACCTTGTGTTGCATAGCATATGGTATTGTTGGTCTTCTTATTATACTGAGCCTATATTGTTTTGTATTAGTTTTTGTATAATTCTTCATTGAAAGAATCTTTGTGAGAACAATATTCTCTTATCCACAAAGAAGTGTTGATGGCATATTGGGACACTTTTAGCAACATTTTTGAAGTACACATCTCATCTAATAGTACTTATAAAGGACTAATTGTACCTTATTGAAAATCATTTCATTGTTTTATGTTTTTCGCTGTCCAATTATGATCACTATGATTTATCATCTCTTTTTTTAACTCAGGTTGGAACGTAAAACTGTGAAAAGGAAAAGGGTTTTTGCAACTCTGAAAGTATTAGGGTCGGTACTTGAGCAGTTGACTGAGGAGGTTTCGCCTGAAGAGGCAGAAAAATTAATTCCTGAAGAGGTTTAATTTCTGATTCACTTAGATCTCTGGTTGTTGCTTTTTCTTATGTGACCAGAGTACTTGCCTTAATTAGGCAACTACTCATGCACTTATTATTCCAGTAATATTTTTATGTGCAGTAGGTTTGAGTGAAATTCTTGGCCATGTGTTAGGGAGCCAGCTACCACTTGTTGGCTGTTAATATATGTGATAGGCTGTAGTTTTGATGAATTGTATTACAGCTAAAGGATAAAATTCATTAAATTAAAAGTAATTAAGTTGGGTGAGGATATTGTAAGGGATTCACCACCAAAACTGGAGTTCTTGCTCTTCTAGAAGATTTGCGGGAGGCTTGTGGCTCTCTGTTTTTGTTGTGCGAGGCCTGTGGCTATCCATATGTGCTTATTAGCATGGTTAGATCAGCCAGTATAAGATCAGGACCGCAGCTGAGATTGTGGATGGAGGGAGTTTGGTCTCAATTGGCTACAGAGGAGTTCGGTTGTTTACAACATAGAGCATGGTTGTATCCCCCTCCTTGGATTTCTCTTCCTTGTTTAGGTGCGCTTTTCCTTTTTTTCCCCACTGATGCAAGTAATTGTTTTTTTTTTTTTGTGAAGAGGAAAAAAAAGCAACAGAGTAAAGAAAAAAGGAATGGTCTCTGTATTTATTTCAAAAATAAACTCACAAATGTAGCTGTGAAGATTGGGCCGTGTGAAAATCAACTATTACGAACTCCTTGAGTTTTGTTCTGACGGTGGCAAAGAAAAGACATGAAGTCACTGCGGTTCTCTGCCACCTTGTGTCGACTTCAACTCAGCTCCTAAAGGATAAAAGAAAGCTCAGTTTTCTATTTCTCCCAGGGTTATTTGGAAAGGAGACGCTTTCACCTGACAAAGGGGATCCTTCACATAATTTGTTTTGATGTTTGATCATCTCTTTTTGTTGTTTTTGCCCATAGTTTTGAATTCTGAATGGTTGCTTGTTTGTGGCTGCTATATTTTGCAGTTGAAACGCGTGATGGAATCAGATGCAGCTATGACACAGGATCTAGTTGCCTATAACATTATTCCACTGGATGCTCCTACCATAACAAATGTGATCATTTCTTTTCCGGAGGTGATTAAGTTTCTTTATCTCCTGCATTAGGCTCTTGTGTTATTGCTGATCTTCTCTTGCTATGTATAAACTGATGAAATTCACGATCAGGTACGGGCGGCAGTGTCAGCCTTAAAGTACTTCAGGGGCCTACCAAAATTGCCAGGGAATTTTCCGATACCTGCTACCAGGGATGCAGATATGCTAGATTTCCTGCAATGTGTTTTTGGATTTCAGGTTTGTGTTTTGAGGATGATGTGGTTTTCGAAGCTGTTTGTTATCTGCTTCCATACTTATATTTTTTTTGGCCTTGTTGGATTTTTTTTTTTATTAAGTTGTTTCATCATAAAAATTTGATTGAGAGATTGAAGGCTCAATGGTTAAATGTGAAATTATGTTCATAATTCCCAAAAGGCTGAAATTTTTCACTGGTTTCTTAATTTTTGAAGTTTCAAATAGGTGCATGTGATATCTGGAATTTCTTGTTATCTCATTTCTTTGCCTGGGGCTGCGAACTTCTACTATGTATAAACTGCCAAAATTTTTATGTACAGATATGTCGTATGGTAAATATTGATCTAACTTTCCTCCTTGCTTTTACTTATCTGCCTTTATAGATCATACATGTTTGCAGAGTGAAACTTGTACTAATTGATTTTCGGGTTTCACAGCCTGGTTTGACCCTACGATTTAAAGTACATAATTTGAGAATTTACTCTTGTGCTGTAATGTTAAAAAATCGTTTACTAGAAGGGTTTTATGTGGCAGCCTTTTATCTAATGTTTAACTTTTAAAAATAATCACTAACTGTTTTTTTTTTTTTTAGTTTATTTGGTGCAACCAAGGTTATGTGATAGGTAGAGACCATCCTATGTGAAGCAAAAATAATCACAAACTGTTTATTTGGTGCAACCAAGGATATACAATAGGTAGAGACCATCCTACATATTCACATCAAAAGAAAAGCTCTTCAAAAACACTACAACATAATCTAAAGAAAAGTGGAAAGGCATTTTGAACTGTAAATACAAGGTACTTAAAAGTCTCTTTTCAATTCAGTCGGTGATTTGGAATTTCCTGTTTTTCAAAAGATCTCGTTTAAATTCATCTACTTTGTGGCACTTTCAAGCATGCTTCATTCCAACAGCGAAATACATCACTCATTTATCTTGGCGTAGCTGAATCCATTCAAAGAAGAAAAAACAAGAGATTCCACAATTTTCAGTTGACTGTACCATTTAAGGCTTTGTTTGTTTAGCT